TTTTAAATACTTAATTTAAACAAAATAGACTAAATATACTATATAACATATATAATAGTAATAATAATTAGTAAATGTGACTGCTATTTAACAAATACTATTGACTGAAATACAGCCAAGACAAGTTACTTTGTACAGACCAAAGGTCACCTTCATGTTATTTGATACGGTATCATGAGTGCACGTGAGCCATGTCATTGTAACTCCTGTATCGTTAGCCAGGCACAGGTGAAAGGACAATATAATAAAAATAAAATATGTATATCAATTTGTAATGTTATGAGCTATTTCATCTAAATATTTATGTTTTCGTGTTATAATTTGTGTTCATTCTAGAATGAAAGAGGCATAATTTATGTTTATATTTCTTAATTTTTATGGTGGTTGCAAGATCGTTCAAATCTACCAAACCCATACAGAGATTAATTACTGAAAATAACACATAAAATATGAAGTTTTTTCTTAAGAAATGTTTGATAACTATCTGGACATTATAAAGATTTTGCAAATGAAATTTCAAAATTTTCTGATGCACAAAAGTATTTTTAATCTTAAAATGAAAATTACTTTGCATGATAGATAAGCAGATGTAAAAAAAAAAAGGCATGAGAGAAACATTGCTTTACAAACCTTACGACCTAATACAAAAATCAGATATTTTGTGTATGAAAGCATTGTAATGTTTACTGATAATCTGCCAAATTTCATTAACATTTGCTTACTAATTTAAAGGTCAGAGCAAGAAAACTATGACAAGCACAAAATGGTTACGAGGTTATCATACTGACTGAGCCTATACTGAAAGAGTCAAGCCTAGCTCAAAATTTTACCATTTGGTGACACACTATTATGGATTACTCATTTATTCTAGTTGTGGGCTATGATGGGTTGAGAGAGAGAGGAGGGGGGGGGGGTAAAACTAGTTTAAGAAAGCCTACCATATTAGGTCCAAGTAATTAATAGCTGTGATTGATAACAGTGCAATAACAATTTCTGTTGTTTCTTGTAGTTGTCCAATAAGTAAATTTCTTACAACATGCTTAAGATAAAGAGAATCATAAATTAAATTACTATAATTTTCACAGCTTTACTAACAAGTTTTTTAGTCTTGTTAATACATCACAGCACTAAGCTGTTTTGCCTTGATAAATGTTAAAATCTTACCTCCTTTCCTTTTTATCCAAGACACGTAGTGACCACTAGAACTTGAACGCCCCCTGTGGGTAAGTACTGCTTGCAAATCATAATATCCACTATTGTTAGAGCCAGGATCTATAAAATAAACAAACCAAAAATGAGCAAATTATAATAGTATAGTGATTAACACAAGACAGTTTCACTGCTCCAAAATGTCCAATTTCCTTATTATAAAATACATTAAAAATTAATATTTGTTGTTGTCACAAATTAGTGTATACAAGTCTCAGACCAGTAGAATAAAGTACGGGAAAAAAACAAATATGTATTGAATTTTTTATGCAAAAAAATTAAGTCCAAAGGTGTTGAAACACAGATACTGTTTGTATGAGTGGCTGACCTATGTGTAAAAATATTTTCTAATAATATCCTTTCTTTTGTTAAGTTATTAAGAAAGCACATGCTTTATAATGTGAACTTTCATACAGAATTCTTTTCTAAGAAAAAATCTCTCATGACACTGAACTTGGGAGATGGCTAATCACACAACTGTATGTGATGGACAGAAAAAACTTGGGAGATAGCTAATCCCACAACTGTATGTGATGGACAGAAGAAACTTGGGAGATGGCTAATCCCACAACTGTACAAGATGGACAGAAGAAACTTGGGAGATGGCTAAGTTTCTTCTGTCCATCTCGTACAGTTGTGTGATTGAGAGGTGGCTAATCACACAACTGTATGAGATGTGGTGTATAACAACAGTATTTTTAAACTAGTCACATTTTAATAAGCTTCAATTTACATAGTGTACCTCTTTTTTCAAATACCAATTAACTAATAATATTTTTTTATGTCTCCAACCTATCTCAGTATACACAAGTAATTTCTGAAGATTTTTGTTTGTTGTTAAGTGCAAACCTACACAATGGACAATCTGTTTTCTGCCCACTATGGGTATCAAAACCCAATGTTTAAAGTTATAAGCCACCAGACCTACTGCTGAGTCACCAGGTAGGCTTCTTATGCTTATGTGCAAATATTTTCAAGAAAAGATAAGATTTAACTGCATATTTTAGAGTTTATAAAACTACAGAAGCTTATTTTTCCCCTGTTCCTTATAAGATCACTATCACATGCTTATCGGTAGGCAACACACTTGTACACAACTAACTGAAAAAACATGCAGTAGGATATGTTATGCAAGCTACAATATGAAAATAAATGTACGAAACTATTACTTATCAACCTTTATGTTAACTATCAGTGATCAGTAAAATAAATTGGAGGCAAATACTGATGGGCAGTTGCACATTGTTTTTGACATGGTAGGAGACAGCATTTAATAATTTTTCAACTTGTTATTTGTAAGATGTCAGTAATTGGTACAGTATTCACAAACAATTTGCTTTTTAGTTATGTACCAGTGCAATGTAACTAGGTCAGTAAACAGTCAACACTTTTTCAAACAGTGTATGTCAGTTATCTTTTTATAAACAATAACTTTGGAGAATGGTGTACTCTAGTGGAGCACGTAATGAATGTATAAAATATCAAATGTAATATGAGAAATCTTCTTACCATCAGGGAAAGAGAATGGTTCTTCCCTCGTCAGTTTTGGAGATTTTCTTTTCGATTCCTCTTTACACTTATCCTGTTAAATCATATTCAGTAAGTGCTTTATGTAAATCAAAGTCCAATTTAAAATTTCAGATACAACTAAAATCCCTTGGGAATTCACTCATGCAAATCAAATCTTCCCAGTGACCACTTTTTAAAATTATTTCACACATTACTTCATTGCATTAAACAGCATCATAAAAAGTGACATGTTTTCTTCAGAAATATATTACTTGACATAATAAAAACAATTGATAAGAACATCTGGATGGATGAATTTTAAATGTCATATTGCATTTATTATTCTAATAATTTTATAGTTTATTTAAAAATATAGTTTTCTGTAAAGAGAAAGAAACTGCAACCAAGCTCTTTTTTTTAAATTCTGAATTAATTTTTATTTTCATTATACTTTTATCAGAATTGTCTAAAAAGTTACATAAAACTAAAATAGATTAAGAAGCTTTAGTTTTAAACTTTATGATCAATGTGTTTAAACTTGTTTGTATATTTATTTTATGCTGTTTAGCCACGATTAGACAAAGTTCAAGTAAAGTGGAAATGTTTTTCTTATACAAAGACAGTATCTAACTAACAAATGAACGTAACATAGCTTATGGCTAAATATTCTTTATTGAAACTTCTTCATGATGAAAAAAAACTAGCATAGCCTATATCGAGATATTCCTGGTTACAACTTCTTCATCACAAACAAAGCTAACTAAGCTTATATATAAATATTCCTGGTTACAACATCTTCCTAATGAACAAAGCTAACTTAGCTTATATCTAAATATTCCTGGTTACAATCTCTTCCTAATGAACAAAGCTAACTTAGCTTATATCTAGACATTCCTGTTTAAAACCTCTTTCTAATGAACAAAGCTAACTTAGCTTATGTCTAGATATTCCTGGTTAGAACCTCTTCCTAACAAACACAGCTAGCATAGCTTATGTCTAGATATTCCTGGTTACAGCCTCTTCATCACAAACACAGCTAGCAAAGCTTATATCTAGATATTCCTCTTCCTAATAAACATGGATAGCATATGGATAGTAAGGTAGCAATGAGACTATGAATACTATGATAGGATCTTTTATTCTCAAAGTTTCGACTACAAGTCTACTTCAGGAAATTATGACACCGTGGTGCCTTAAAAGGGTATTTAGACAAATTTTCCCAGATTAAGTTCCTGGTTGCTTTGCTGCACCTTGATTGGTCCATTATCACTGTCTGTTAACCACCACCTGATCAATTAGCATTCTGGTCTCGTTTTAACCAGGCTTGCCGCCACTTCTACCAACTTGTAGACTCTTGCTGTGGTGTTTAAGTTCTTTTCTAGCAAGATGTAAGCAGCCTCCATTGCTTTCCTCTGTTGTTTCTTCCATTTAGCCAGGTGCCTTGCTTCCTCTGCATGTGCTGTTATCGTATTGGTTTTATTGTGTCTTCCGACATCCGCTTTGTCTTCATTTAGTCTTGTTGTCAGGCCCCTGCCATTTTCACCTATGTAGACTTCACTGCATCCCTCATATGGAATGCAGTATACTATGTTGTTGTTTGTTGTGTTTCTTTCTTCTGTCCTTTACAATTTCCCCTATTTTTGTTCTTGTTTTCATTACCACCTCTGTGGTTGTGTGTTTTAATAGTCTGTTGATGGGACTTGCATCCCAGGCACTGGGGACCACTATGAACTTCTTGTTTCTCTCATCCTGTCTTCTGTCATTGTTCCTTTCCATAATGTTCCCCACTTTCTGCTTTAGCTTTATGAGCATGCTTGTAGGATATTGCAGCTTCCTGAAAGCTTCCATTATGTGTTCGTTTTCTTGATCTAAGAATTCTGGATTGCATACCTATAATGTCCTCAGGAAGAAGCCCAATGCCACACCTGTCTTTACTTTGTTGTTATGTGCTGAGAAGATGTGTATAAAATCATCTCTGTTGGTTTGTTTTCTATATACAGAGAACCTAGGCCCCTCGTCACCTCTTCAAATCAAAGTGTCAAGTTATTGTATCTTCCCATCTTGCTCTTCTTCTACTGTGAGCTGCAAGTCTTCTAGTATCCCATTCAGTCTCACCAATGCTGCCTGTACGTTCGTCTTGTCTTCTTGGTATTATGGCTAGAATGTCGTCCATATATCTCAGCCATGTCGAATGTTTGCCTATGATGCCTTTGTAATGTTCTTCTTCTAATGTCACCATTACTAGGGAAGCTATGACAGCATTTAATGGTAAGCCCATGGTGTTGATGGTATTCCTGTCCCATGAACCCAAACAGGCCAAATTTTTACAAATTAATATGAGTTTGGTGTAATCTTCCCTTGGGAAGGGGAGATCATCTTGTCTCTTGTATCACTCTGGTGGCAGCCCTGATAACAGCCTCTGTAGGTACCTTTGTGAACAGCGACTTTATGTCAAAGCTCAACATTATCATATACACTAAGGAATATTTAATTGATTCAAAACAATCCATGTATTAGGCTGTAGGAGTGTCATCGAAGTATCAAAGTCAGTTGTATTGACTAACCAAGTGAAAACTCCTTGTAATAGACTATAACATTGTTGAATAAAGTTGTTTAAACTATTGTTTAACACAATAAATGCTTGGAATGGTCTATTATTTCATTGGGGGTGTGTCTGTGAGCCAGACTAGTTGAATAGAGTATAGAGTTCTTCAAATACCTATAGAATGATAGGTTTCGTTTTGGTGATTGTAAAACACATAAATACACCAGTTTGATTTTTTGGTACCTCACTACTATAAAGGCTTCGTTTGGTCTGATATTTCATTGGTGGTAGTGTCCAGGGTCACTGATGAGAAGTGGAATTTTCCGAAACTAGTGTGGCTCACAGACACACCCCCAATGAAAGAATAGACCATTCGAAGCATTTATTGTTGTTAAACAAATGTTTAAACAACTCTATTCAATTATATACCAGCTGCCTAGTGTCGGCTAACAATACAAAGAATTAAATTGTGGCGAAATGCTACAAGTTCTTCAAATACCTATAGAATGATAGGTTTGTTTTTTGTTAGTGTAAAACACTTAAATAAACCATTTCAATATAAAATTGTTAATTTGTTTTAGAACAAAGTCACAATAGACTATATGCTGTGTCCATCATGGGGAATCAAACCCTGGATTTTAGCATTGTAAAAGTCCATAGATTTACCACTGTCCCATTAGGGATCATTAAGCTATAAGAGTGCCATAAAAGTGTCAAAGTCAGTTGTACTGATTAATTAAGTAAAGATTCCGTATTAGGTTATAAGAGTGTCATCAAACAGTCAAAGACAGTCATACCAGCTGATCCACTGGAGAAAATATCACGTGAGTTCTGATATTGCTGGAGAACAGTCATCAAAGTTGTTGAGTAAGTCATACTGGCTGATTCAATGGAAAAAACATGACATGCGAGTTCTGATATTGCTGGAAAACAATCATCAAAGTAGACAAGCAAGTCATACTGGCTCTTTCAGTGGAGAAAACATCACATACGAGTTCTGATATTGCTAGTAGTTTAACTTTAGGATAGAAGAGTGTCACCTCAGTGATCAGATTAGTTTTAATGACTGATCAAGCAGAGAATGTTTTAAATGTGATTTCTAATAATGTATAAGAAACATAATAAGATAAGAGGCTAGAAATATATACATTTTCCAAACTTTTTTCAATTGCCAAACTCATTGATAGTTTCAGTTCAATTTTAATCATTAATAAAGCAATAAAATTATTGATAATCAGTCACAATTTATACAGAAGAAATTTTAATTAAACTACTAAAAATTATGCTATTTGATCTTAATAGATATTCCAAGGAGATGTCATATATTATAATAGATATTCCAAGGAGATGTCATATATTATAATAGATATTCCAAGGAGATGTCATATATTATAACTGATATTCCAAGGGGATGCCATATATTATAATAGATATTCCAAGGGGATGTCATATATTATAACTGATATTCTATGGAGGTTCTGCATACAATCCATAAACCAAAATTTTGCCAAGTATGTTAGTAACATTGCTTTTTCCCTTTTTTAATAAAATATGGATTTGCTCATTACAAAAAAATTTACATTATTTAGCTAGGATTTACATATACATATGTTAAAGCTATTTTATTTAAATACCTTAGAGTTACTTAAAATATAAACGAAGCTCAAAATCAGTGTAACAGTGTTCTTTCTGTTTATGGTCCTTGTACATACTCTGGCATTTTGCTATTTTACATGCCTGTTAAAAATATAACAATTAATTTCTACCACACAACAATGTCTTCTTTAATACATGCTAGGAATGAAAAAGGAAAGAAAAAACTGATATCTGTTCAACATAACATAATGTTAACAAAGAACCTATTCGCCCTTCTAGGCTGTCCCATCCTTTAAACTAAACTAAAACTATTAAGTAAATAATATTAATACAAATTAAAATCCCTCATAGCCAACTCTTATCATTCATAGTTTTCAAGCTTTCTCTTAAACTCACTTAAATTTACTGCCTCTACAACATCCAAAGGCAACCCATTCTAAAGGCCAACCACCCTGTTAGGAAAATAAAACTGACTTAGCTGAAGATGACTCCTTCCCTGCCAAAATTTATATTTATGTCTCCTATTCCTACCATTAAGTATGTAAAAATATGATGCACCAACACTGTCAATTACCTTAACAACGTTAAACAACTATATCAGATCCCCTCTAACTCTTATTTTTTCAAGAGTAAACAATTTCAGAAATCTTAACATCTCCTCATATGACAACCCCTCCATCTCAGGCACCATTCTAGTAGCCGTTCTCTGAATCCTTTTCAACAATTCAATGTCCTTTCTAAGGTAAGGAGCCCAAGACTGAACATAATACTCCAAAAGTGGTCTAACCAGTGGCCTATACAATGAAATTATAACATCTTTAGACTTTTATTCAACATTTCAGTAGATACAACCTGAAATTCTAATGCATATGGGTTATCATAATTTGAATTATAGGTATATTTTGGATGGGAATAACCTTGATCATGTTATGAAAGAAAAGGATCTTGGTGTATTGGTTCATCAGTCTTTTAAGCCATCCAAGCATTATCTTCCATTTATTATAATTAAAATTTATTTGTCCAACTTACTAAATGATATAAATCCTTTTGTAAATCAGGAGTATACTCCTCACAGCCAGCAACACCCAAGATTATAATATCATCAGCAAATGTACAAAATTTATTGACTATTTTGTCAAAATAAAAAAGAGCAATAGTCTTAAGACTGGGCCCTAATGTACCCAACTTGAAACATTAATTCCATTTGACTAAACTCCATTTATAACAACCATCTCATCTGGCCACTCTTCTATCCAACTAGCTAACTTACCCCCCCCCCCCATAACCATGTCAAATGCTTTCTTAATGTTTGTATTTCTAAATCTCTGTACAAAAGACAGTAGCTACATATACATATCATGCTATATTAAACTATTACCTTTTGAGTTTCTTCAGCAAGCTTGTCTTCTTGCTCTTTGAAGCGAGCTCTCATTGGCATCAACTTCTGCTGTAGCTCTTTGGAGCACAAGTCAAAAGCATCCAGTCGTAAAGGAAATTTGACATCCTATAAAGACAATCACGTAAAATTATCCTTTCATAACTTAATATTATATTCACGGGTATATATTTCAAAGATACCGACCACAAATTATTTTTTTTTACTTTCTTCTCTCGAGGCTAAAGTTTTAATAACCTGTTATAAAACAAAATTTTATTTAAGACTGTTCAAATATAATTTTGTTATATTCATTTTTTTAGCTATTTTCTCTAAAGTTATATGCTACAAGATCCAAATTATCTAATGTTCAGAAGAATATATCTGTATGTTATATTACATATTTGATTTTTCTAGTCTTTCAGTGTTATCACATTCTAAATATTCTATATCAAATGAACTTAAGTCTCAAGTTAGTAAATACTGCCAACATTAAAAATGTTGATTTATTTCTATAATTTTCTTACTTTCAGAATTTTTGCATTGATAGAGCCCTTTTCTTTGTAGTAGAACCGAACAAACTGAATGGTGAGGTAGGCTGGGAGACGGCTAATCACACTCTAACAAAGCAAAACAATTAATTGTTAAATACGAATTTAAGCCACTAAAATAAAAAAAGATTAAGATTGGCAAGAAACATGAAGCTATAGTTAACTGTTGAACTTGTTCTTCATTGTAATGTTTAAACTGTATTTTTATGAGCAATGAAGAGTGTTATAGAAAGACCATACTTTTTGTTTTTATAACAGTATTTCACTTAAAGAAGCTATACGTGGTGTGCAATTTAAAAACTTTCACACACCCACAAACAAATTTAAGGTGTTATGAAATATGAGGAGATAACGTACCTTCTTTTGGTATTGAGCATCTCGATTTAACGTGGGTGAATACTTTGTTATTGTTTCTTGAAGCCTCTAGAAAAGTTAAATACAAAGTGCTGCAACTTACACAAAGTTGAATTTATACTTTCTAAACCTTAGTTACTATATTAAACCAAGGCTACTTATGTTTAGTTTAATAGAGCCATTATTTTATTTCTGATCATGATATTTCTTTTGATAAGAGTATAGAAGTTTTATTCTACTATTACTTTATAACCATTATATATTTTTCATGACTTTCACCAAGAGTTACTGCCTTTCTTATGGATTACAATTCAAACTGCATATAAATTAGTTATAATTTCTATTTTAATTTCATACTCACAGATTTTAAACCAGAATGCAGGTATTTCACATCTGAAAGAAAACAGGATCTCAATAAGTAACTATTCTATTTGTTCAATTTACTCAGTTTTATGTTTGGAAAATAATTTATTTTAGAAAATTTTGCAATAACATTAAATACCACCAGAAAATAAAAAAAATGATTAAATACTTTAAGAGAATATATAAAATGTATCTGATAGTCGCCAGATGTTCCATAAAAAGTGAATGAATTTAGAGAAATACAGAATAAACTTTGGAATAGTTTAAAAAAAAAAAAGCTAAAAGTCATATTTAAATTTATAAAA